GAACAATATGACCACATGCTCAATTATTCTGAGTGCACATTAACACCTGAAAAGGGATCACAGCCCCTTTTCATGTACCAACTGTCCATCGTGATGCAGTGAGACATGACCTGAGCTTGGCATTAGCTGCAAACTGGACAATTTCTTCAACAAATAAAACTACTGAAGTCTTGAGGGTAAACGCTGATAAGTTACTTAGCTTCATTTTTTATCTCTACATCAGGTAGACTACATAAGTTGACTATTACATTGAACCTGCCATATACTGCTTGCTATGCTACACTGCGTTCTTGTAAGGCAACACTCAACTGATCTAAAATGACATTGAAAGTTTCACTTCTGAATTTTTCTCTGGGAGACAAAACAACTTCCTGCGAGACTGATGTTCGGTTTGCATCATATTGCTTGTTTCTCTTTCTTTGCTTGCTTGTAGTTGATTTATAGTCTGTTGCCACAATGTTCCTAGCATCCGGTACCAGCTCTTCTTACCTATCTCGAATTGATTTCAGAAACCTTTCCATAGAATCAATGAAATCCACCACCTTTTTCAGTACTGTTGAACTGTATAAGAATTATGTTCCAGATCTTAGCCATCAGAGCAGTTTCAAGACAATCCATTTTGTATCCCAAAGCCCGAGCTTCATGTCTTGTTTCGGGTGTTTGCTTAAAGTCACTTTCAATATCTCCGAGGCATTTTGAATAGAGTTGTATCCATGTACAAGTGCTTCAGTAGCATCAGCTCTTACTGACCATCGAGTGCCTGAAAGAGACGTAACAGTTAGTGCTCTTTTCTTTCCTGCCAAAGACTTCATTAGATTTGCCCGTCTGCTTGTTGACGCAGAAAAAAAGGTGTATAAACTCTGTAAAAAGCCAAAATAACTAACAGCTTCCACATAGAAAGAGGCAGCAGCCTGTCCTACAAGATTCAGTGAGTGAGCAGCACAAGGAATAAAAACTGCTGCTGAGTTCTTATTTTTAAATCTGGTCTGCGTTCCTGTGTAGCAACCGGACGTATTACTGGCATTGTCATAAGATTGCCCTCTGCAACCTTCAAAATTAATGCCTTCTTTTTCTAGAAATTCTAGCAGAGATGCAGACAACACTTCAGCCTTGTGAGAGCCAGTCTGCAGGAAAGTTAAAAATCTTTCTATCGGCTTTCCAGAAACGACGTATCGCACAATCACTGTTAGATGGTCAACATGAGTCAGGTCTAGTGCTGAATCAACTGAGAGGTATAAAATACCGACAAGATGAAAGTTAAGACACATGCGCATCTGGTTATCTATATTATCTGGTTATCTATATTATAGACGTTTCGCCATCCAGTGGCTTTATCAATACAGATTCTAGAACATAATTAGAAGACAGTAGAACTATATACAAAAAATGAGGTAATCAGTCCCTCAGCCTTGGAGTTGGTGTTGAGAGCACCGTGGTGGTGATTATGGAGACTGGCGGTTATATAGGCGTCAGTGGATAGGGACGTGTAGCAGACGAGAGCATGGTCACTGGTAGGCGGGTTTCCCCAGTGGTAGTAGGTCCTACCCAAAGGATGGGTTAGTTGTAGTAGCCGTTAAGAAGGTCTTGTAGATGTCCTCTGAATGGCGAAACGTCTACAATAAAGATAACAAGATGCTGCACATGTGTCTTAACTTTCACCTTGTCGGTATTTTATACCTTTCTTGCACAACCTGTCAGACACTGCAACATCATGGTATCTTGGTTCTGAAGACCTAGGACCTAGGTCCTAGGTCCTAGGTCCTCGGTCCTAGGTCCTAGGTCCTCGGTCCTAGGTCCTCGGTCCTAGGTCCTAGGTCCTCGGTCCTAGGTCCTCGGTCCTAGGTCCTAGGTCCTCGGTCCTAGGCCCTCGGTCCTCGGTCCTCAGTCCTATGTCCAAGGTCCTCGGACCTAGGTCCTAGATCCTCGGTCATATGTTCTAGGTCCTCGGTCCTCGGTCCTAGGTCCTAGGTCCTCGGTCCTAGGTCCTAGGTCCTCGGTCCTAGACCCTAGGTCCTCGGTCCTAGGTCCTCGGTCCTAGGTTCTCAATCCTAGGTCCTCGGTCCTTGGTCCTCGGTCCTTGGTCCTCGGTCCTAGGTCCTCAATCCTAGGTCCTCGGCCCTAGGTCCTCGGTCCTAGGTCCTCGGTCCTCGGTCCTCAGTCCTATGTCCTAGGTCCTCAGACCTAGGTCCTAGATCCTCGGTCATATGTACTAGGTCCTCGGTCCTAGGTCCTCGGTCCTAGGTCCTAGGTCCTCGGTCCTAGGTCCTAGGTCCTAGGTCCTAGGTCCTCGGTCCTAGGTCCTAGGTCCTCGGTCCTAGGTTCTCAATCCTAGGTCCTCGGTCCTTGGTCCTCGGTCCTTGGTCCTCGGTTCTAGGTCCTCAATCCTAGGTCCTCGGTCCTAGGTCCTCGGTCCTAGGTCCTCGGTCCTCAGTCCTATGTCTTAGGTCCTCGGGCCTAGGTCCTCGGTCCTAATTTCTCGGTCCTAGGTCCTCGGTTCTAGGTCCTAGGTCCTCAGTCCTATGTCCTAGGTCTTCGATCCTAGGTCCTAGGTCCTAGGTCCTCAATCCTAGGTCCTCGGTCTTAGGTCATCGGTACTAGGTCCTAGGTCCTCAGTCCTAGGTCCTAGATCCTCGGTTCTAGGTCCTAGATCCTCGGTCCCAGGTCCTCGGTGCTAGTTCCTCGGTCCTAGGTCCTCTGTCCTAGGTCCTCGGTGCTAGGTCCTAGGTCTTAGGCCCTAAGTCCTTGATCCTAGATCCTAGGTCCTCGGTCCTACATTCTAGGTCCTAGGTCCTCGATCCTAGATCCTCGGTCCTAGGTCCTGGGTCCTCGGTCCTCGGTCCTCGGTCCTAGGTCCTAGGTCCTCGGTCCTATGTGTTAGGTCCTCGGTTCTAGGTCCTCAATCCTATGTCCTTGGTCCTAGGTCCTCGGTCCTAGGTCCTCAGTCCTATGTCCTAGGTGCTCGGTCCTAGGTCCTCGTTCCTCGGTCATAGGTCCTAGGTCCTCGGTCTTATGTCCTAGGTCCTCGGTCCAAGGTCCTAGGTCCTCGGTCCTAGGTCCTAGGTCCTAGGTCCTCAGTCCTAGGTCCTCGGTCTTATGTCCTAGGTCCTCGGTCCTAGGTTCTAGGTCCTCGATTCTAGGTCCTCGGTCCTAGGTCCTAGGTCCTCGGTCCTAGGTCCTAGGTCCTCGGTCCTAGGTCCTAGGTCCTCGGTCCTAGGTTCTCAATCCTAGGTCCTCGGTCCTTGGTCCTCGGTCCTTGGTCCTCGGTTCTAGGTCCTCAATCCTAGGTCCTCGGTCCTAGGTCCTCGGGCCTAGGTCCTCGGTCCTCAGTCCTATGTCTTAGGTCCTCGGGCCTAGGTCCTCGGTCCTAATTTCTCGGTCCTAGGTCCTCGGTCCTAGGTCCTAGGTCCTCAGTCCTATGTCCTAGGTCTTCGGTCCTAGGTCCTAGGTCTTCGGTCCTAGGTCCTAGGTCCTCAATCCTAGGTCCTCGGTCTTAGGTCATCGGTACTAGGTCCTAGGTACTCAGTCCTAGGTCCTAGATCCTCGGTTCTAGGTCCTAGATCCTCGGTCCCAGGTCCTCGGTGCTAGTTCCTCGGTCCTAGGTCCTCTGTCATAGGTCCTCGGTGCTAGGTACTAGGTCTTAGGCCCTAAGTCCTTGATCCTAGATCCTAGGTCCTCGGTCCTACATTCTAGGTCCTAGGTCCTCGATCCTAGATCCTCGGTCTTAGGTCCTGGGTCCTCGGTCCTCGGTCCTCGGTCCTCGGTCCTAGGTCCTAGGTCCTGGGTCCTATGTGTTAGGTCCTCGGTTCTAGGTCCTCAATCCTATGTCCTTGGTCCTAGGTCCTCGGTCCTAGGTCCTCAGTCCTATGTCCTAGGTGCTCGGTCCTAGGTCCTCGTTCCTCGGTCATAGGTCCTAGGTCCTCGGTCTTATGTCCTAGGTCCTCGGTCCTAGGTCCTAGGTCCTCGGTCCTAGGTCCTAGGTCCTAGGTCCTCAGTCCTAGGTCCTCGGTCTTATGTCCTAGGTCCTCGGTCCTAGGTTCTAGGTCCTCGATTCTAGGTCCTCGATTCTAGGTCCTAGGTTCTAGGTCCTCGATTCTAGGTCCTCGATTCTAGGTCCTAGGTTCTAGGTCCTAGGTTCTAGGTCCTAGGTTCTAGGTCCTAGGTTCTAGGTCCTAGGTCCTAGGATAACCCAATAGGTAACCTAAGCCGCTAAATTCCTTTTTTGACCTTTTATCAGCTATCACACAAAGTCAGTTATCATTATTGACAATAAAATAAATAAACTGTGTAAATTAATTATATGATAATTAAACTGGACGAGTACTAAAACGAAATAAACAATAGTTGAATATATCAGCTGCACGAGTACTAACTCTTCGTCTATGTTAGGTAAAAGGGCACAAGTGCAACTAATATGACGTTTTATTGTAGCAACGTTTCGCTCTCCAGGAGCTTTGTCAAGCTGGCACGAACAATACTTGGACACAGAGGGTAATAAACGTACAGAGGGAGGTGCAAAATATATTATCGTTGTAGGTAATAGTAGTCCTTGTGGTGATAGTAGTAGTAGTAGTAGTAGTGGCAACTAGCTGCTAGTAGTCCTTGTGGTAGTAGTAGTACTTGTTGTGGTAGTTGTAGCAGCTGCTACAACTACTACCACCACCACAAGGACTATTACTACTACTACCTACAGTGATTTATATTATGTTTTGCACCTCTGTACCTGTATATACCTCTATATGTCCCTGTATTATTTGTAACAGCTTGACAATGCTCCTGGAGAGCGAAACGTTGCCACAAGAAAATGTCACATTAGTTGAACTTGTGTCCTTTTACCTAACATATTGTCGGTAAATCTACCAACATTATTACACCTCTTCAAGTAATCACCTTGTTGATACACCCAAGGTCAACCTAGACTCTCACAATAAACATGTCATACTGCAGACTTTATTTTAATTATAACTATTAATTGCGCATTAACTATACACAATTACTTTCAGGGATGACTCTGGTAATCTAAAGTCGTGCGTTATCTACGACTTTGCTGCGGCCCTGAACAACACTTCAAGTCTCAGCCTCCACTACACCCGCACTTTCAACGACAATATTCTCGTTTTCAACACTAGTGCCTTCAACGACGACATCCCCTCTTTCAACAGCACCACCGCCTTTAACGACTACACCCGCGACAGGGAGAGGTACCTGGAGGCGGCGCTGGTGTGGTACCATCGACATCAACACACCATCCCCACCAACTTCACAACAGGTGTGTCGTACTGTTACCTTCGAAGCCTTTCGAGAATTTTCCTACACCCGCAGCCCGGCCCTGAGCCAGACTTGTCTGGTGCTTCCCTCGTCAACCAGGGTCCTGCTGCAACATCAAGGAACTTCCCTGAAGGGAGGTTTCTTGGGCTCTTGATCTAAGTAACTGGATCTGTGCTCCAATTTCTTGAATCGAGTCTAAATGACTTCTATTTCCCCAGGCGCTGTATGAACCCTATGAGTTTAGCACTCCTTATGAATGTAATTCTACTACTACTACTATTAATAATAATAATAATAATAATATTAATAAAAATAATAATAATAATAATAATAATAATAATAATAATAATAATAATAATAATAAAATCCTCTCCTATGCTACTACTATTAATAATAATAAAAACCTTTCATATGCTAACTTTTTCTCCCTTACTACTCTCTTTACGTCATCATTCCACCAGTCGCTCTTCTTCCCTCCCGCACCCACTTTCCTGTAACAACAAACTTCTGCTGAACACTCTAACACTACAGTCTTAAACCTACCCCATATCTCTTCAACCTCATTGCCTATACTCTCACTACCCTAGCTATCATCCAATAGTTCCTTATATCTACCCTGACTGCCTCCTCCTTTAGTTTATAAACTTAGACCTCTTATTTATTGCTTCCTTTCTCCTTGTATTCCATCTACCTTTTACTCATTGTAGCTACAACTAGTGATTTGATATATCTGTAGCCCCTCTATAAACATGTACATCTTGAAGTCTACCCAACAGTCTTTTATCTACCAATACACAGTCCAACAAACTACTGTCATTATGCCCTATATCATATCTTGCATGCTTATTTATCCTTTTCTTTTCTTAAATATGTATTACATGTAACCAAACCCCTTTCTATACAAAGTTCAATCAAAGGCTCCTCATTATCATTTACACCTGGCACCCCAAATGTGGCATGCAAAGAGTATGTTACAATTTATTTGGCATATGTCACACTCATATATAGGCTGCCTCCCAACTAGCATACCAGGTGCTAAAAGTTTAATGATCGATATGGTACCAGTCGTTAAATCAGTACCTTGGTTCATTAACTAATCACAGGTAAGCCCGCCAAAGCTGCAACAACATGGTTCACTTGCGGTAAGCATTGACAGACTTGCCTGTCAGCTGGTTGAGTATGATGCACTCTCCCTTGCTTCTGCTTTGCCATCTGTCACTGTGGTGTACACTTATTATTCTATCTGTGCATATTGTACAGTGTACATACCTGTATATAGTGGGTGAAGGCAAAAACATACTTTATAGTCTACTGCTGAGTCTGTTTCCTCCAAATCCCTTTACGACCAGGTCTCACAGGCCATTTATTACCTGATTTTGTAATACCAAACTTACCTACCACACCCTCTCTAAACGTTTCTCCTACTTTAGCATTTAGGTCCCCTACCATAATTACTCTCTCACTTGGTTCAAAAGTTCCAACACATTTGCTTAACATCTCCCAAAATCTCTCTCTCCTCTACACTCCTGTCTTCTCTGGTGCATATACACTTATTATGATCCGCTTTTTGCATCCAACCCTTATTTTAATCCACATAATTCTTGAATTTGTAGATTTATATTCCCTCTTCTCCTTTCATAACATTATTGCTACCCCTTCCTTAGCTCTAGCTCTCTCCGACACTCCTGACTTAACCCCATTTATTTCTCCCCACTGAAACTTCTTTACCACCTTCAGCTTTGTTTTGCTTAGAGGCAGGACATCGAACCTCTTTTCATTCACAACATTGGCAATCATCTCTTTCTTATAATCTGCACTACATCCACACTACATCCACGCACATTAAACATCCCAATTTTATGAAGTTTTTCTTCTCTTTTTTAATAGTTTCTACAGAAGGGTTTACTAGCCTATTGCTCCTGACATTTTAGTCGCCTCCTGCGACACACATGGTGTACTCACCTTTTTGTACTCACCCATTTGCGGTTGCAGGGGTCGATACATAGCTCCTGGCCCTGCCGCTTCACTGATCGCTACTAGATCTTCTCTCTCTCCCTGCTCCTTGAGCTTTATCATACCTCGTCTTAAAACTATGTATGGTTCCTGCCTCCACTACGTCACTTGCTAGACTATTCCACTTCCTGACAACATCTCTTTGGCTCATGTGAGTCTTCAACTGCCAGGTGTGACCCCTTGTTGCTGGGTCTCATCTTTGGAACATCTGTCTCTGTCCACCTTGTCGTTATCATGTCTCCTCTAACCCTTCAGTCCTCCAGTGTCTTCAGGCCGATTTCCGTTAACCTTTCTTTGTTTGACATCCCATTTAGCTCTGGAACTAACCTTGTTGCAAACCTTTGCACTTTTTCTAATTTCTTGACGTGCTTGACCAGGTGTGGGTTCCAAACTGGTGCTGCATACTCCAGTTTGGGCCTGAGGTACACGGTGTACAGTGTCTTGAACGATTCCTTACCGAGGTATCCGATCACTCTTCTCAGGCTTGCAGGCACCCATATGCTGCAGCAGCTATCTGGTTGCTGTGCGCCTCAGATGTGCTCGGTATTATACTCACCCCAAGATCCTTTTCCTTGAGTGTGGTTCGCAGTCTTTGACCACCTTTGGCCTGTACTCTGTCTGCGGTCTTCTTTGCCCTTCCATGATTTTCATAACTTTGTATTTGGCGGGGTTCAATTCCAGGAGCCAGTTGCTGGACCAAGCTTCCAGCCTGTCCAGGTCACTTTGTAGTCCTGCCTGACCTTTATCTGATTTAATTCTTCTCATTAACTTCACATCATCTGCAAACAGGGACACATCTAAGTCTATCCCTTCCGTCATGTCATTCACATATACTAAAAATAGCACTGGTCCTAGGACTGACCCCTGTGGAACCCTGCTCATCACAGGCGCCCACTCTGATACCTCGTTACGTACCATGACTCATTGTTGCCACTCTGTCAGGTATTCTCTGAGCCATTGCAGTGCTCTTCCTGTTATACATGTCTGATCCTCTAGGTTTTGCACAAATCTCTTTTGAGGAACTGTGTTGAAGGCCTTCTTGTAGTCCAAGAAAATGCAATCTACCCACGCCTCTCTCTTGTGTCTTACTTCTGTTACCTTGTCATAAAACTCCAGTAGGTTTGTAACACAGGATTTGCTTTCCATGAATCCGTGCTGGCTGTCTAGGTGCTCCACCACTCTCCTCCTGATAGGCTTTGCATACTATACACATCAGTGACACTGATCTATAGTTTGGTGCCTCGTGTCTGTCTCCTTTCTTAAAAATGGGGGCTACATTTGCCATCTTCTATACCTCAGGTAGTTGCCCAATTTCAGTGGATGTGTTGAAAATTGTTGTTAGTGGCACACACAGCATCTCTGCTCCCTCTCTAAAGACCCACAGAGAGGTGTCTTGTCCCACAGTTTTTGAGGTACCAAGGTCACTTAGCAGCTTCTTCACCTCTTCCTCGGTTGTGTGTATTTCATCCAACACTTCTTGGTATATCCCATGTTGGTGTACTCCCCTGTTCTGACTTCCTGGAGTCCTTTCTGACTCCACTGTAAATGCTTCCGTAAATCTCATGTTGAGCTCCTTACATACTTCTTGGTCATTTCTTGTGAGCTCCCCACCTTCTTTCCTAAGCATGATTACCCGGTCCTTGGCTGTTGTCTTCCTCCTGATATGGCTATACAACAACTTTGGGTCAGACTTGACTTTTGATGCAATGTTGTTTTCGTGCTGTCGCTGGACCTACCTCCTTATCTGTGCATATTCGTTTCTGGCTTTTCATCTAATCTCTTTATTTTCCTGGGTCCTTTGTCTTCTGCACTTATTCGATTCTCTAGTTCACTTATGGAAATAAATGGTATAAAATACCTACACAATGGAAATATAAGCATATATACAGTATAATGTGATCCTTTATTAACAACGTTTCGCCCACACAGTGGGCTTTTTCAAGTCACAAACAGATCTACCTGGGTGGAAGGTACGCGAGTATTTATAGCCAGATTGAGAATGCTGGGTCAGGTGGAGAATGCTGCATGTGATGGTCTACCGAGTGGGGTTATAGAGTCTAAAATTTTGGGTAGCTTGGAAGAGAGATTGGATAAGTATATGAGTTGACCTTCTACAGTGTTCCTCCATTCCTATGTTCTTATGTGGGATAGCGATGAAGAAGTTTCTTGGCAAGTGGTTCAACTATGTTATAGAAGCCATTGTTCTGGTTGAAGTTGTTGGATATAGAGATAAGTGATGATTCCAGGATTCTTTGGTATTGAGTGTTGTCTTCTCTGGCGATAGGTCTTGAGTTTCTGTAGTTTATTAAATGGTTGTGTGAATAACGGTGTTATACACAGGCATTACTTGGATCATCAGTTTGTCTTCTCTACTGCTTTATATGTAGCGCGTTCATTTTATGATACTTTCGATATCAACACATCATCTACACCAACTTCACCGGTGGTGAAGTTGGTGTAGATGGTGTAGTTGGTGTGAACCAAGTTCACCACACGTGCTTGGTACCACCAACACCAACACACTTCCCCCTCCAAGTTCACTACAGGTGCGTGAACAATCACCTGGTCGATAGAAAGTTGTCTCAGAGGACCACTTGCTAAGGTAAGAGGTACGGTGGGGAGGGAGGAAAGGACAGACGGAAGGGAGGGAGGGAGGGAAATAGAAAGGGAGGAGAGAGCTGGAGGAATGACTAAAGGAGGGAGAGAGGGAGGACACAGGAAGGAAAGAATAAAGGAGGGTGGAAGGAAGAAACGAATCTTATATGAGTCCTTTTATAATACAGCGACTCATATCTTAAGCCAAAGAACACTTAACGAGAGGTGCATATAGTGAACCTGACCCAGGACACTCAGACGTGGGTATATGTAGTGAATCTGACCCAGGACACTCAGGCGTGGGTATATGTAGTGAATCTGACCCAGGACACTCAAACGTGGGTATACATAGTGAATCTGAACCAGGACACTCAGACGTGGGTGTATATAGTG